TGAGCGGCTCCCCTTCCTCTTCCCGAGGTTGCCCTCGGAGCTGCCGGCTCTCCACACGGCCGGCGCTCCCAGGGCAACCTCCTGCTGCAGCGACCGCACGCGCTGTGGCGGAAAAGTCAGGGAAAGTGCGCCCTACATGTTTAGGGTGCACTTTCCCTGACTTCTAAAAGGAGCGCCAATTTGGCACTCCTTTTAGGGTCGCCACAGGAGCGCTGCGGTGCGGAGGCTGTGGTCCCGTGGCACTCTGGACCAGGGCATCCCTGACGCCCTTGTCTGCATCCCCCCTTAGGCTCAAGCCTTAAAGTGCATGTCTAGTTTTAAAGCTGTTTAAAAGTTCACAAGAAAGATATCTTCATTTTCATTTAGGCTGTTGTCATAGTTCATAATTAAAGCAGTTTGACACCACTTTAACTGCCATGGCTCCATCTTGTGCAATCTTGGAATTTATAGTTTGTTGTGGCACCAGAGCTCTATGACAGAGAAGACTAGCTCACGAAACTACAAATCCCAGAATTCCACAGCATTGAGCCATGGCAGTTAAAGTGGTGTCAAATTGCATTTATTATACATGAGGATCCAGCCAAAGTCCTATTAAAGTCAGGGCACACCTCTCTCTGTGTGTTTTTAAAATCAGTCCAAAGAGCCCTTTTTTAACATAAGGCAGGCATATTAATCATGTAACTTCCCAAATATTGTTGAACGGTAACTTCCAGCAACCCTAACCAGCATAACCAATGGCAAACAATGATGGGACTTACAATTCACTAATATCTGGAGGGCTGCATGTCTCCCACCCCTGTCATAAGATATTGAGGTCAGCTTGATAAATCCTTGGTGGCAATGTCTTTAGGCCAAACACATTTTGTCTGATTTTTGTAGTTGGCACTTTCAATATCATCTCCCACCAATAGCTGCTAGAACTTCTTTCCCAATAGATTCCCTGTAGCACAAGAGTAAAGAACATGTGACCTTCCAGATCCCATCTTGCCTAATGTATGACTAAGCTTCTCAAATGGTTCACCCAACCCCCTTTGTCCAGTGGGAGCATTTGAGTCCTACAGTTTCCCCAGGACCCTCCGCAACCGAAGCTAGTCTGTCAGGTGTAGCATCTCGGCTTCAGCCTACTTATGTCTCAATCTAAAATCTTTATCTCTCCAGTTAGGTGTGTATGTGTATATACATGTATGTGTGTCTGCAGCTGTATGTGCTGATTTCCCCTTTTAAATAAAATGAATTTCATGGAAGATCTGCCTCTGGAGTTCTCTGACTGCCTCGAACCTAGATAAACACAGGAAAAAGATCCCATGGTTGTGTAACCAGACACTAGACAGCACTACCTTTTGAGCTGATGCTATAATTCCCCCCAGATCCATGTGGTTACATTTGCTCCCTCTGGGCATGCATAGGTAACAGGAGGTTTTTGGTTGTATCTGTATCCCTAGATGAAATGAAGGGTATTTCCTCTTTCTTGGGTGTGCAAGAACAGTTGGACAGACCACAGGAACCAGCAACTGCTGCTGTAAACCCAGGTGAAGGCATTTTGCAAAGAGATCATGAATGCCTTTTTGCAGTGCCTACAAAAAATACTTACACTGGTGTAAGCATAAAGAATTCAAGCAATACAGTCAGGGAATAGGTATGGAGTTAAAGAATAACCTTCCTCCACACTGTGGCCCCAGCTGAAATTCCTCTATGACTGTTTTTTGAAAGGAAAAAAAGTTATAAGGGGTATTCCAGCCATGGGACGTTATCACACGTGGGCCAGAAAGAGATAATAAAGTGGAAATGAGGCATTCTGAAAATAAACCGAAAATAAACCTTGATTCCGCAAATGGCTTTCACACGTAATTACCTTCATTGTGAAATTAAAGTAAGCGCATTTAACGTTCACACACAAGCGAGAAAAGCCCGTAAATGTACTAGAAATGAGCTTCTTGCACATGCGCAGATAGAGGAATGCTCGCTGGAACCATGGGAAAAGCAGGGAAATGCTCCCAAAAGCGCATTTGCTTTTCACATTACAGTAAACGCGAAATTACCTTAATTTCGCATTTGCATTTCCTCCAAACAACCGAATTTCAAAAGATCGCGGTTAACACCAGTTTCTGTCCACTTTCTGTCCACTTTCTGTGCGATGTCGTGTGAAAACGCGAGGCACAAATCCAGTTTTTGTTTGTGTGGATTAACCAGCAGATTTGCCACGTGTGATAATGTCCATAGACTCCTGCTAGCAGACACATTCTGTCATTTTGTCATTTGTTGCACATTTCCCAAATCCCATGAGAAACCCCAAACCATCCCTTTTCGCTGTTGTTTTCCCTACCTTTATTCCACACATAGTCCCTTAAAAGATTCCAGTTTTTACTTTCCTTTTATCAGTGGATGTTTTATCTTTCAGTCATGGCCTTCTATTTAATATCTGCCATTTCACTTTAATACTGTTTTGATTTAATACTGCCTCGCTTGTAAGGCTGCATTTTACCATTATCTACTTTCCATTTTAAGAAAACAATTTACTGTCAAACACCAACCCCGTATGTCACACATGCTTTCAGATAATTCAATTGTATTTATGATGCTTAGAATTTTTCTCTGTACTGCCTGTTTTCTACTCTCTTTTGGGGTGCAGGTCATTTACATTGTTTCTGCTCTTGTCAATATTGTACATATGGCACTTTCTTTGGTTAAATGTAAACTCCAACCCTCAGTCCCCCTGCAAACAAGTTGAAGGTCATTTTTACAATCTGTCCCAGATGGAGAAACAGGGCAATTAACACCAACCTAAGTTATCATGAATACCTTCAAGGAGTAATTCTGTCAAGCATTGCATTTCCATATTGCTAGAACCATGGGTGCTGCTGGCACAATGGCCAGGCAGAGGCAAAGTTATTAACAGTTCACTGGGGCATATTTGCAAAGTAGTTTATGGACAGAATGGCTTGTGTTCAGTGAGAAATCTGCCCTGTTACTCTTAACAGAATGCAAGGCACCAGCCTTAAAGGCTCTAGGCTGCCACTTTTGGGGGTGCAGACATCAGCATACATTCTCATTGCATGAGAGCTTGGAAACATTACATTTCTGGGTGATAACACCCACAATCGCCACCCAGCATACCTTCTGGAAAGATTACAGTATGACCCTCATAGCCATGGGACCAGTAAGCATGGACAAAAGGTCTGTCTAGGCATCTGAAGATTCTCCATTGGAACTCTATCATCAACCTCTGCCATAAATATAGGTTTTACCATTATCCACAATGTTAGAATCATAGAATCATAGATTTGGAAGAGACCACAAGGGCCATCCAGTTCAATCCCCTGCCATGCAGGAACTCAAAATCAAACCATCCCCGACAGATCGACATCCAGCCTCTGTTTAAAGACCTCCAAAGAAAGAGACTCCACCACACTCCGAGGGAGTGTGTTCCACTGTTGAACAGCTCTCACTGTCAGGAAGTTCCTCCTAATGTTGAAGTAGAATCTCTTTTCCTGTAGCTTGCATTGATTGTTCCAACTCCTATTCTCTGGAGCAGCAGAAAGCAAGCTAGCACCCTCCTCAATATGGCATTCCTTCAAATATTTAAAGAGGGCTATCATATCCCCTCTTAGCCATCTCTTCTCCAGGCTAAACATACCCAGTTTACTAAATCGATACTCATAGGGCATGGTTTCCAGACCCTTCACCATTTTAGTCGCCCTCCTCTGGACATGCTCCAATTTTTCAACATCCTTTTTGATTTGTGGTGCCCAGAACTGGACACAGTATTCTAGGTGAGGCCTGACCAAAGCAAAATACAGTGGCACTATTACTTCCCTTGTACTAGTACTATACTTCTATTAGTACAGCCTAAAATTGCATTGGCCTTTTTAGCTGCGGCATCACACTGTT